CGGCCTCTGGACGGCCGCTCACAGCGGCTCTTGGCAGCTCACACCGGCTGCCAGCTGCTCACGCTGGCTGCCAGCCACACACAGCTTATGGCAACCCACTGCAGCAGGGGCTGCAGCCTAATGCCGTTGCCGGCAACTCACAGCAGCCCAGCTCCAGGTCGAGCCGCCATTCACCATCTTAGGTGTAGAGGGCAGTGTTACTGGCCCCCATGTGGCATCCTAAGCTAGCTCTCAAGCAACATGCCACTCGGCCGGCCCTTGAATGAGTTCTTAACCAACTGAGCCACTCGGCTGGCCCTTTCCTCATGCTTCTTGTGTCCGAGCTCAACCTGCCTTGGAGGACCCCATACGGAATGAACCTGAAGTGCCCCCACCCTGTGGCTGACCAGGTGCCCCCAGCCCAGGTTAGGATCCAGAGCCAGTGACCACAAGAATACCGCTCTGGGCAGGCATGCCTGTTTAATGACATCTCCACCAGCAGACGTTGAACCAGGGGCCTGTTTCCGGCTGCTCCAGATTGGAAACCTCAGGTGATGGCTTGCAAGTCCTTTACAAGCAGGCTGTGGGTACTGGGGTCCCTGGATGATTCCTTCTTGGGCTTGGCACTCACTTTCCCACAAAGGATGTGCCTGTCAGAAAGGCCTGGGGCTGGGTAGCAGCTACCCACTCAGTGGGGAGCCCACTTCTGCCTTCTGTATCCGCTCGCTCCTGTGGGTGCCATCACAGTATGGGGGCTTCTGAGTTGCCTTGCAGGTGCATAGGGCCACTATGCGGGTCTCCTGGGCCTTGAACTTGAGTGGGGAGAGGCCAGTGCGTTGGAAGAAGTGGGAGCCATCGCAGAAGGGCTGGTGAGGGAAAGAAAGAAATTAGAAACCCAGCCCCACCTGCTGGGGCTGGGCAGGTCTGGGAAGAGCTACACACCCTGGTTAGGGCGCAGGCTCCTGAGTGACAATGCCAGCGTTCATTAGTTTACCTCTCATGTAATTTGAGGGTAATAAGAGTCGAGTTGTCCCAATGAAATGAGTAATGGTTATTATGTACTTTGCATGTAGTAAGTGCTCAGTAACTTTGAGTCATGACAGCATTGTTCCTGAGGCTACAAGGACAGAATTTTCAAGGTGAAATGAGACCTTGGGTATCAGCAGCGTTTACACTGATAGGTTGGTGTTTGTTTTCTTCCCAATGGCTTTGAGTCTCCATTGGTTCATGAACTTCATTTCCATCCCCATAGTCTGAGGTAGAAACTCTGGGTTAGGGAGATCCTGTGTGCATCACAGGGCTTTAAGACAGGAGTTATCAATTTTTTTTTGGCTCCAGGAAACAATGGGGCATATTGTTGGGAGTGGATGTTACAGGGAGGACAGGGATATCCCATTGTGAACTGGCTGCCTGGTGCCAGCATATATTCCCTGTCCGTCCAGGGAGGTGTTCAGAGACGGGAGTGGAAACCAAGGCCCAGGGAAGTGCCGTCACTTGTTATTAGTGGGCCTCCTGACCTTGGGGCCAGGGTGGGGTAGGTGAGATGAGAGGGAAATAAGCAAACATCAGCCACCAGTTCCCAGGGGGCAGGAGGCAGAGAGGTGAGGCCACATGACAGCTGGCATTCCCTTAGCACTGCTCCGCCCTCATGAGGACCTGCTCACAGTCAAATCAGTGGCAAGGGAGGGCTGCTGACACCATGCCACACCGCTTGGAGGAAAACAGTTCTAAGAATTCAGCTCAGGAAGGATAGGGGCCCTGGAGGCCAAGACTATGTGGCAGGTTCCTGCAGGATGAGAGGCTCCTGAGGCAGAAGGGAGAACCAGTTGGGAGCAGGGAGCCAGGCTGAGAAGAGAACAGGCCGAGGCAGGCAACCAGGGAAGTCACATAACTAGAAAGGGGAGGGCTTTCAGAAAACACCAGGAAGGGGCACTTGGGGGCAGCGGAGCTGGGCAGAGTTCCCAATGTTGGGGTCCTAAGACTGGGAACCTTTAGCTCAGCTGCTTCCTGGAAGCAGCAAGGAGGGAGAGAGGCGAGCCTCTCAGTGCTTGGAGTAGAAGCCTGGAATATCCCTCTGAGGAGAAGGGAGCACCAGAAGCCAAGTCCAGAATCCTGGGCTCCACCCATCTGGCTGTGTGACAGTTTCTGTCTCTCTGGGCTCATTGCAAAGGCTGGATGCAGAGAACTGAGCTCAAGGCTGTGGGTGGCACTGGCCTAACAGTATTCTTTCACCCCCAACCTCCCTTGTCCTTCAGGCATGTGTGGGGAAAAGAAGACCCATCCTGAGTGGGAGCTCCCAGGAGACACCCTGCTGTTCCCAATCAGGGGTGTTATATGTCAGTGTGTGTGTGTGTGTGTGTCTGTGTGTGTGTGTGTGTGTGTGTGTGTGTGTGTCTGTGTGTCGTCTCACCTGCTTCTTGCTACGGCCACACACACACCACCTGTAGGTTTTCCCTGCCACCAGCTCCATCTTGATGGGTGTTTTCAGGGCCACCACGGACTTGGCTGGGACTTTGGGGAACCATTTGGCCTGTGGCAGGAAGATGAAGGGCTCGGCGTCAGCCCTGACCCTGGAAGCACTTTCCTGCCTATGGCCTTGTCCAGTTTCCCATTGGCCCTGGCTTGTGGCAGGCTTCTTCTGCAGGAGGCTGATCTGATGCCACCCAGCAAAGACACTCCTCCCTGGGTACTATAAGGGCGCTGAGTTCCAGACAGGGAAGGGACTTCGCGGCATTCAGGTTTTGGGGCCCAGCTGCCTTCCCTTCAAACCCTAGCTCCACCTGGGTGCTTGGGAGGGGAGGGCCAGGATCCTGCCAGCCCAAGCGGGCCAACTGCACCCTGGGGCTCGGTTTATCAGGCACCACTGTTGCCAGCGCAGAAGACTGGCTCCCTGCCCTGTGCCCTCGGGTCCAGACTACCTCCCCTGAGCCCTGGGAGGTGGCTACAGGCAAGGCATTCGCAGGCTAGCGTCCCGGAAGCAGGGCTGACCCTGTCTGGTTCCATTCCCTGGTGTCTGTCTACCTTTGGGATCTCTGAGCCCGGGGAACTTGAGGGGAGAGAAGGGGAAACGGGGTATTTACCAGCCAGGAGGAGATATCCCGCCTCTGGTTCAGCTTCTGCAAGGCACGTAGTCATCACCAGACGGTGGTTTGGAAACAGAAAAATAAAGTCAATAGAAAGAAGCGGAGAACTTCCAGGGGTAAGTCATCCGGGAGGGAAGAGACAACGGCTTAGGGGCGTAGGAGGAATGAGAGCGTGAGAAAATGGGCCACAAGAGAGGAAGGCGAGTCGCCGGGGAGGTGCTGGCACGCAGCAAGCGCTCTGGGAGGGCTGCAAAGCACCAGGCGAAGCGGAGACTTGGGGTCGCTCAGCGGAGGGGCCGGCAGGACCCGGCACGAGGGGCGGGGGGAACCTCGAGCGAGGAGAGGAGGGGCCGGGCCGCGGGCCGCACCGGAACGGAGGATGCTCACCCAGGGCACCAGTCGCAAAAGCGCACCCCCGCCGTTCATACTGGCCCCCAACGCCACGCCACGCCTGCTCCGCCCAGCGCCCGGGTCACCTTAACGCTTCCGCCGCCTCCGGGCCAACGGGGCCCCGCCCCGGCCCGGAAGACTCGCCTGGGTTCCGCTCGGGTGGGGGTTGAGGGCCTGCGCGGTCCGGTCCAGCCCCAGCCGCCGGAAGCCAAACCAAATGCCAGCCCTGCAGCCTGCTCGGGTCCCCTGGGGGATGTGGATGGGGCTCTCCGGGCGCCCCCTTTTGTACAGGCGTGTCTGCGGAATGACCGCAGAGCATAGCCTCTCGTTTCCTTGCCTGCTCCTCTCAGGCCACACACACCCTCTCACACCCTTGTGAGCTGGGACCCTCCTGGGAGCCGGTTTTTCCTGCAGAGTCTAAGGCAGTGTTTCTAGAAGTGCAGGGCGGGTACATCTCACCACCTAGGGAGCTAGTTTTTTAACAGATTCCCGCCGGCCCGGGCCTATAGAACATCCTCGTGGGTGGGGCACAGGTATCCAAGCGCTCAATATGCAGCCTGGGTATTTTGTGCATCCTTGTGACCTATTATTCAGCTTAAAGAAATGTAAAATATTATCCCCCATCCCCTCCCAAGGCTACTACAGTTGGCAGGCCACCTCCCTTTGCCTTCAATAAAGCCAGACAAAGCAGGGTCTCATTGGATTTTTTTTTTTTGTAAAACATTCTTTTATTAAAAGAACAAGTGCTGTATACGAACTGCCCTTCGTACAAATAACATCCGTTATACAAAGATACAAGATCCGGGTTATGCACAATTCCAGGCTTGGAGGTGGGGGGAGGGCATTGCCTTTTGGGCTGATATAAAGGAGGTTTTAGAAAGAATGAAAAAGGAGCCCTGGGTTTGCAAACTGTGGCTTCCCCTCCCTGCTCCCCTAGGAAGGGTCTGCTACATTGAGACAGGCTGGGATGGGAAGGGGAGGTGGGAGTCAGGGTTTGGGTCTCCAGTCCCCCCACCTAAGTCCCAAGTTGGGTTGGAGGAAACAAAGGGCAATGGAAGGCACCCCAGTCCCCAGCTTTTCAGTAGATCAAGTCCAAGTGGTAAAGAGCTAGACACTTAATGGGATTGATGTGACTGGAGGGAGCCAGGTATTGGGCTCCACCTTCTTCCAAATTCCCAATTGAAGTGACTTGAATCCCTCCAGGCACCTCTCCCCCGGGGAAATAAGTTGGGATAAAGGGGAATTGGGAGCGAGCTGCCTACCCCTAACTCAGGCCTACCACACACCAAGGAAGACGCTGGAAACTGGCAGGAGAAGACTGTGCCTTTGAAAACTTGTCTGCATTTCCAGTTTGGGAAAGGGAAGTGTGGCGATTACCCTTTCTCAGAGCTGGCCCCTGGCTCCGGCTCCCCTCACTTGTCTAGGCCCTTCCTAGGAGTACTTCCCTAGAACTCAGGACAAGATGGCAGGTGTGTGCTCATCAGCCTCAAGGTAAGAACACCTGGAGGCAGTAGCCGGCCCAGGAGCCTGAGGGAAAAAAACTCACACACAGGAAAAAACTTTTTAAAAGCAACCTTTAAAGTGTCATTGTCTATGAAGAGGATCCATCAGCTCTGAGCTAAGACAGTGCTACATAGACACCCTCCCACCCTGGGCACAGCCCTGCACTCACACCACACGTCACACACACAGCGACGGCTAGACAACCACATGGAGGCAGTGCAGTGGGAAGGGAGAGCGGAGGACCAGGAGGCCAGGGTCCTGAGGGCTGGTCCCCTACCCCTCCTAGGCTTGGAGGTATCACCTGTGGAGGAGCTGGCTCAAACCTTTAAAGACAGGTCCCCTCCAGCTCTGACACTCGTGCACCAGTTGTGACCTCAAGACCAGATAGCAGCTCTGCATGCACACCCCACTCACACCTCCGAGCTGAGGGTGATGACACACGAAGCTCCACTCATGCATTTTCAAACTCTACTTCTGCCCCACAAACCACATCCTTCCGCTCCCGTAGACGCAGATCTATAAATCTGCATCCCTTCCCATTCCCCATCCAAATTCATCCTGGAAAAGGGACTGAGCCTGGGAGAGGAGGGTGAGGTCAATATAGCCCCCCCCCGCCCCCCATACTGGGACCCTGCTCTCTTGTGAAGATCTCCTGGACTTTCCTATTATAAAGCTCCCTAAAAGATGGAAATGTACCACCACTCTCCTACACCGCCCCCCCCACACACACACACCCCAAATCCAGGGAGAGGGACAGCACCAATCCATACCCAGCCTAGGTCCTGTCTTCAAATCTAACCTGACAATCTGCTGCACCACAGCCTGGGGAAAGTTGGAAAACAGACTCTTGGAGATGACAACCCCAGACTCGGGTGCTGGGAGGGAGGGTCTTGGTTCCAGTGCACTAAATCATTTAGACCTCTCACCCTCTACCACAGCAGCCTTGGGTGGATTCACTTCATCACCATCCAGCAGAGAAGTTGACTTCAGCTCTAAGTTGGCGGGCCTTGGGCAAGGGCGTGGGTGTGAATGAATTATTCTTTTAAGAATCTCTAAAGGTTATTTTTCTTTTCAGTGGTTTGGGGGCAGGGAGTTAGAGAGCTTAATAGATGAAGATGAATAAAATGCTGAATTCTATAATTTCTTTCTAACTGATATTTAGCAATAAAAAGTGAGTATTTCTGAGGTCATCACAACTGCATCCCCCCTCCCACAAGCCCTTGCAAGTGCCTAAGAAATTGCCTCTGAAGGATTCCCACCCCCCCTCCATTATCTGCTCCCTAACATCTTACAAAGTCTTATCAACAGGAATATTAATATTATTTTCAGTATCAGAAAAAAACCAGTTGAGCAGCACAGGCAAAAATATATCTGCACTACATTTCTGTCATTGCCAAAAATATACACATCTTCTTTGCTTTATTTAAAAAAAAAAAAAAAACCAACAACAACAAAAACCCAAACAGAAGCACACACACAAAAAAATCCACACATGCAAAGAAACTGACAAAACATGAGCATCAGGGAAAGCTGGAAATGCCTTCTCCTGGCTCCAACCCCAGTGCAACTGAAACACAGACACAGGCTTCAACCTTGCCCCTCTCCTGGCTGTCCCACTGGCCCCTCGGCCTTTGCCACCAAAGGCTCTGGGCAGGTGGAGACTCTTTAAGGTGAAAATTTAAGTGTTGCCCACTATACCCGGGGAGGGAAATAGCTGGTGGGCAAAAGGACAGTTGTTAGGTCAGCTTAAGCTTAAGTCTCCCCTGGTTGGTGGTGGTAGTTGGGGGTTGGGGGGTAGGGTGCAGGAAGCAGGCTGGCTAATTCTGGGAGGGAGGTCTTCACTAAAGAAAGCGGCACTTTACCCACCCCTGCCCAGTCCCCCAATCCCTGGAGCTCCCCTTGTGCCAGGAAGGCAGGACCAACTACCAGTGGGGGAAGAGGAACTCTGAGACTATGTGGGGTCTGGGGGAGGGAAGGCAGGATATTACCCTGATTCAAAGCCCTCAGCCCCCAGTTACTCTCCAATATTGGAGTACTGTTCTGGTTTTTGTTAACCATTCATGCCCCAGAAAGGGACCAAAGTTGGTGAGGTGGGGAAGGTACGAACAAGAGCTGGGAGGCCCCCCCCCACACTCCGCCTCTGAGCACTCCTCCTATCCCTGCCCTCAGCTGCTCCAGGTCCAGGAGGAGACAGACAGACACACACGCAAACGCACACACGCTCTCTGAGTCAGGCAGCTCCATCTCCCCACCCTCGGCACTCCTAAATCCAATAGTGCAAACAAGGGGCAGGGCACCCAGGGGGCTGGACCTCCTCCCCCTGTCCCCCACCGTCCCATCATTGCCCACGCCCCCAGAGGTGGGGAGGCTTGGACAGAGTTTGAGGCCATCCCACCCCTTTCTCAGCCCCCTAGTCTGTGGGCTTTTACAAGCTCAGCTTGTGACCCTTTTTGGGGGCAGGGGAAAAAGACTGGTGAGAAACAGTCCAAGGGATCCCTCCTGCCATCTGCCCTAGTTGGGAAGAAACCGCAGGTACAGAAGGACCACCCCTTCTTCTATAACAGATTTCTGTGAAGGGTCAGGCCCAGGGCCTGTCCCCCACATTCTCCCCACTCAAGTGCTGCTCCATTTTATGTGGCAGGTCCAACCAACCCCCCACTTATGCCGTGGCCCACTTTGCTCTCTGGGGGACCTCAAAACATCTGCTGAGAGTAGGGGCTCCTAGGCGGACTTAGAGCCTGTCCTCCCTCTGGGCCCCTCACAAAGGGTTAGTGCAGAGGGGGCAGGGGGCCAGGTGGAAGGAGCCCCCCCCTCTCATCTCAGTCCTCAGCACCGGCGCATCCCACACTCCCGTCTCAGCACGTGCTCTCCAGTGTCTGGGCGCAGGTGCCTGCTCCAGGTTAGGACCCCTTAGGCCAAGACTGCCCCCTCCACTTGCAGGGGGGGGTCAGGAGGGGTGTGGGTGGATTTAGCCTTTTTCCTGGTTAGCTGAGGCTCCTTTGTCAGCGGTCTGGAAAGAGAGGAAGGGAAGCTGGGGGTTTGGAAGGTGTCTAGTCCTAAAACCCAGTTGAAAATAGCTCCCTGGGTTAAGAAAGCTGTTGTAGGGTACAGTGAGGGAGCCCCGCTACAGCTCCTGGACTGGGCTCTGGTGGGTGCACACCAGGGTCAGCTTGTTGAGGGAGAAGTTGCCCTGCACAAGGGTGCCTGGCTAAGCAGGCTTGTGCCAGCCAAGGCCAGCATCCCAGGCCCTTGCTGTATGCCCTCAGAGGAAGGAGGGAGGGCCTTTCTGGAAATGGCCCACCCAGAGCATCATCTTTGTCTAATTGGTCCACTCAGAGAGGAAACAGCCTTTTCTAATTGTTCCCAGAGGAATGCTGTTTTCTAATTGGTCCTTGTACTACGAGCCCATGTTCAGGGTGTATCTTTCTTGGATCTACAGAAGAGCACCCACGTGCTAGCAGAGGCCCTGGCATCTGGAGCAGGAGTGCTTTGCTGACCTAGGGGTCACTTCCTTCCTCTTGATGATGTACCTTCTGATGCTCCACCTCTGCCCATCCTGGAGAAGGAAGACAGGATGGCCCCGGACCCCTTACTCACCCCTCCTTTGGGGCCACTGCCACTGCCGTCTGCTCCCGACAGGCTGAGGAAGGGGTTGGTCTGGGCAGTCAGGACTGGAGGGCCGCCTGCTGCTGCTACTGCTGCAGCCGCAGCTGCTGCAGCCATGAGACTTGTGTTGTTGCTGAGGGAGGGAGCCACCAGGGCTCCGGCAGGCAGCAGGGGTGGGGCAGATGCTGTGGGCAGCAGGCCAGGAGTGCCCGCAGACAGCAGCGGGGTAGAGCTTCCTGCCAGCAGGCTGGCCATGGGCAGCTGGGAGCCCCCGGCCATCTGTAGCCGCTGCAACTCCCGCTTCTGCTGTATCTGCTGGATCATCTGGTAGACAACGGTCTGGTGTTCCTGCAAGTAGACCAGACTGCTCATCAGCCAGCGGTCCCGAGGCCAGCTAGCCCTGCTTGGCCTGGGCCCCACCCCATCACAGTGGAACCATGAGGCAGGAGACCTGGGAGATAGTCAAGGTTCTCTTTTTTCTAACTCCCCATTATGGGCCTCAGTCTCCCCATCTGGACAAGAAAGTGGTTGCGCACCATCGGTGTTTGTCAATTGGGGCGCTACAGGCCACGCACGGGGTGTTTACAACCCTGGCCCCATCCCACTCACTAAATCAGTTCCTCAACCTCCCTGACAACCACAAATGCCCCCAGGGGTGGTATGACTAACTGAAGTTGAGAAACACTAAACAAGGTCAATAGTTTTCAACTCCCCATCTTTGTTTTTTTCATTTAAGGTTCTTTTATTTTTGCTTTGAGTATGCAAAGCATTTTCAGTGTTCCAAAAACCAAAACAGGATATCAAGGTTTACCTTAGGAAATCTTGCTTCTATCCCTGCTCCCATCTGGCCCCTATAGATAACCAACTGAATTGGTTTCTTGTGTCTCTAATTTTTCTTTATATGAAAATGATGATTTTTTTCAACTCCTCCTTTTTGAAAGTCACAACTCTTTTCTCCAATGGAAATCTTAGCAGAAGCCAACATATAAGACAGACCCAAAAGGGGCTGCTCCGGTTGAGGGGTGTCACCTGCTCAGCCACCACTCCACACGGACTCTGAAGGCCTAGACACCCCCTGAAGATCCTTGGGGCTGACTGGAAATGCTCAGTCACTAAGGACTTACCATCCTCTAGACCTGCTCTCAATAGGATGTGCTGGGGACCACTACAGCCCGCCCCCCAATGCCCAGGGGACCCTGAGAGCAGCCCTTATCCCCGCCGTCCCATAAGAGATGCTGCATAGGGGCCAATGCCCCACAAGCGCAATCCCAGCCCAGCCGGGGGCTGCTCCCCCCGCCCCCCCGAGACAGGCCCTTCTGGCCGACGCAGGGAGGGTGGGTGGCCTGGGAAGGGAGGGCATTACCGGGGTCAGCTGTGGGGAGGCGAGGAGCTGCTGGAGCTGTTGCAGTTGCTGCTCTTGCTGCTGCAGGAGGTGCCTCTGCTGCTCCGTTAGGCTGAGGCAGAGGGACAAGATACAGGCCATGGGAAGGCACAGGGAGACGCTCCTCCCTGGCCCCCCACAAGTTCCCAGGCTCCCTCAGACCCAGGTAGAGAGAGGCAGAGATGTGTGGTTTTAGTGGACTAAAGAGAAATAGACTGAGCTCAGAGAGTGTAGTGGGAGGGAGACAATTTAGATGGAAGAACTTTCCCAAAAGGAAAAACTAGATTGGGGTACAAGAGATAAACACGATTTTGTCCCTGGAGAGTTGCCATCCAGAGGGCACTTACATCTAGGGAGTACCTGGGACCAAGAGGTGACTAGATTCTACACCCTGTAAGATGAGGGCTTTTTTCCTTTTGGGGAACTGTGGGTATTTGGGGGAGTCCCTCCCAAAGCCAGCCTCCCCATTCCCTTTCCCAGGCTGAGCTCTCCCTCACCTGTTGAGACAACCTGGCAGCTGCAGCGTGGGGGCCCCGCCAGCCTGGCTCAAGCCCGCAGGGTTGGGGGCGGCAGCCCCATTCAACCCCCCCAGGAGCCCATTGAGGGGCAGGGCCCCGCTGCCCGCCAGCCCCCCCAACAGCCCCTCAGCCATGGGCACAGCCCCCAGCCCCGCCGCCCCGGGTGCCCGGCCCAGGCCGTTCTGTGGCTGGGGCGGGAGCGGGGCAGGGGCCCCAGGCAGGGCCAGGGGCAGAGTAGCAGGGCTCTGCTGGAGCAGGGGCAGCGGTGGGGGCGTGCTGTGGAAGGACAGCGACGAGCTGCTGCGGCTGGGGCAGCCTGAGTGTGGGTCCTGGGGAGGGAGGGGGAAGGGAGGGGTCAGAGGGGCAGGGGGCCAGCATGACCTTCCTGGCCCCCGGCCCAGCACCCATCAGCATTCACAGAGCACAGCCACCCCCACCTCACCCCCAGGCAGAGCCACCCAGGAGGAAGAAGTGAGGCCCAGGGATTAAGGCTAAGAATCCAAACTGTCTTCACAAGTCATGTCTACAGGCCACTTCTTGGAAGCCCAGCGCCCCTCACCATCCTTGTTTAATACTGAGCATCTAGTAAACCAGATCCAGGGTTCAGTCTTAACCTGCACTGTCTCATTATTCCCATTTTCTAGGTGAAGCCATTGATTCTCAGGCTAAGTAACTCTGCAGACAGCTACAGTGAAAGGCTCAGGTTCAAATCCTATGTTCACAATTCAATGGCCTGGGTGGCTTCTCTGCCTCAGTTTACTCACTCAAAACATGGAGGTAACAGTAGTACCTATTCCATGAGTACTTATTCCATAGTGAAGACTAAACGATCCAATACTTCAAAAATCTCAGCACAGGACACAATAAAGGGCAAGCGTGCAACTAATGTTAGTTATTATGATGATGATTATTGCCCAAGTCATAGTAAGTGACAGAGAGAATAAGAAACAAGCTTATTTGATTTTAATAATAACCACAACTTAACAAGAGCACAACTGCCATCCCAGCCATCACCAATTACACAGAAATTCTTTTGTGTGAAGCATTATAATAAACCCTTCACAAATACTTCTCACACAGGCCTAGACTAACCACCTTACATGTACGGAAGAATCCCACCCCCCATTCTTCTTCACAGCCTTCAAATTATTTCCATCTTAGCACTTTTCCAGGTTTCTGATTATTGACTGTATTCTTGGATTTAACCTAACTTCAGGAGCAGGACTCTGTCCGTTTTGCTCACTGACTGCTTGGCCAGTGCCTGGCACTAAGTAGACATCTCATAATTATTATTTATCTAATGAATAAATGGATGGATCAGTCAGCCCATTGCTCAGCCAATCACTTCATTGTCCAGCCTCCAATACAGGGTGAGGTGGGACCAGGAGAGCCTTGCACCTCCCATCTCCTGCCTGTCCTCAGGGCCCCTCCCTGTGGTGCCCACCTCGGAAGACGTGGATAGCGAGTTGTCCAGGCCGAGACTGTTCTTCCCAGGGGGGCTCTTGCTGGTGCTCAAGGAATCGCTGCTGCCGGCTGAGGGAAGGGAATCAGAGAAAGAGGTCAGGGGCTAAAGTCAAGGCTAGTTCCTATCGTCTGGCAGAGGCCCCCACTCCCGGGCTGGGTGGGATAATACCTACCTTGGGGAGGCAGGCCATAGGGGCCAGGGACAGGGCCGTTGGCGGCAGGCAGGACGGCAGGCAGGGCAGGGAAGGGCACAGAGAGCTGCACGTTGAGAATCTGCAGCCGCTCCTTCTTGGCTGTCAGGCTCAGAATCTGCTCTTGAAGCCGCTGGTTTTCCTTCTGCAGAGCGTGCAGCGCCTTTAGCATCTCCACTACTGCAGAGGAAAAGCAAGAGCTACTGAGCCCCGCACGCCTGGGAAGGCGGGGCGAGAGCTGAGGGCGGGGCGAGAGCTGAGGGCGGGGCCAGGTGACCAGAGGCGGAGCCTGGCAGAGAAAATCTGAAAGAGACCTAGAAGAGAAGGCGCGGGCTAAGCGAGGGACTCAGGTGAGCTGGGGAGGCAGGACCTGGGAAGCCAGAGGTGTTGAGGCCCAGGGGCGGGACCTGAGGCTCGGTTCGAGGCCTTGTGATTGGGAGGGAAGAGGTGGCTGGAAATTCGGGCTTAGTAAGGTATGGGCCAGGAGGCCCCGCGGACCAAAGGCGGGGTACAGAGGGGTAGGAGCCAGGAGCAAGGCCTAGCAAGGGTTAAAAGTGAGGCTTAGGTTGGTAAGAGTTAAGGCTGGGGTGGGGCCAAGGGGCGGACCCTTAAAGACATCTGGGGACTTAGGGGAGAAGGGAGAACAAATTTGGGGGTCTTAGAGCAAGTCTCCCAGCCCTGCGCCACCCCCTTCTCACTGTTGACGCCGGCCTCGCCGTCGCCCTGCTTCTCCAGCAGCTGCTCCATGTTAGTCGTTCCGGGGGCTGCTGGGTCTAATTGGCTGCCCCCGCATGGTGCGGACGCTGTCTGGTCGAAAAGTGCGGGGAGGCTGCTGATGGGGGACCTGGGGTCAGAAGGGAACACCGAGCTCAGGCTTACCTCATGCCCTCACTCGTCTCCCTCTCTTCCTCCTCCCCCCTCAGGGGTTCCAGTCATCCCCTTTTGGAGCCCACCCTCTCCTGGAGCCCACCTCTCCGTCCCTTCCTCCCCAGTGTCCCTCCAGCCCCGCTCCCAGCCCCTCCCCCAAGCCGCCGCCCCCTCCCTCACATGGAAGACAGACTCTCCTGGGGGGAGGTCCCCCGACACCGGAAGCTGCAGTCCTCCAGGTCTGGCTCTTGGAAGGAGAAGGGGGGCAGGGATCAGTGGGGAAGGGGTGCGGTCGGCCTCAGGGTCCCAGCCTGGTAAGTGAGTGCGGGATCTGGGACCTTACCGCAGACCCCTTTCCCCAGGATCTCCCAACCCGTCTAGCAGTTATGTATGTCGTACGTAAGGCGCTGGGAGCCCTGGCTTGGAAACCCGGCCCCTTGGGAGGTAAGGCCATAGATCCAGTCTCTACCCCTTTCTCTGGGCAGAAAGACGCTCAACTTTCCACCTCCCAATTTCTTTCCTGGAAGCTTCAGTTACAGAAATTTGGGGTCTAGACAATCCTGGGGTGAACTTGGACCCGATCCTTGTCCTGTGAATTTGGTCTTGAAACTAACCTTTGAAGTGATTGTTTTGTGGATTAAAATAAGGTAATAAATGTGAAGTGTTAAGCTACATGCAACAAGCCCTTAATAATTATAGCTATTATGTTTTATGTGGCTTTTTATATTCATTAACTCACAAGTTGGATGGTGAAACCTTTGGTTGGACCACAGAATTCCGATTTGGGTTTCAGCAGAAAGTCACCCTACTCTCTCAGGTCTTTAATTCTGGAATCCGATTCGGGGCCCCTTTACTAAGGCCTACCTGAATTGGTTGCCGGGAGGTAGACCCCGCCCCCTAAACAGCCAGGTGATATCTCTGCACCAATCAGCTCTCTAGGATTGGTGGGGCTAACTCTCCAGGGAGAGGATGGGGCACTTGTGACCCGCCCCTTTAACATCTAAATACCTGGAGAGCAGGTTGCCCAGCTCCTGGGATCTCATAACCACTGATCCCAAGGACTCACTAAGAGGCCAATAGGGAGCTATGCTGTGGTTTTAAGAGAATTGGGCTCGGAGTCCGGGGACCAGAATTTGAGCTCTGGCTCTGCGTTTCCCTACTTCAACTGCCTTCAGTATTAATCTCTCTCCTGAGATGGAGTCGTAATTCTTCCCTGTACCCTGGTTTGTTGTGACTTTTGTTTGTTTTTGTAAGGTGGGCAATGGCCAGAGGGAGGGGGCAGCCAGAAAGCCCTCCCATCCTTTTTGGGGTGACATGCAGCTGATGGGTGCCCCTCGGGCCTTTGGGAAGAAAGGGGAATGGAGTCAGAGGCTCACATACCTGTGTGGCTGCTCTCTGCTTGGGTGAGGAGGGGGTTAACGACACCCATGGGGGTTCCAAAGATGTGGGTAGAAGGGAGGCTAAAGGTAGAGCCAGCCAGAGAAAACACCTGAGGGAAAGGAGGCAGAGTTCCGCTTAGTGGTTATTCTTGGATCTAGGGCACAACTGTGTGTACCAGGTGGAGGGGACCGGGTGTGCTGGGGAGCAGCGAGGACCAGAGGGAGAAGTTTTGGTGGTGATCAAGTCCAATCTCTCAAGTTCCCATGGAGGACTGGGGTCCTTGGCAGCCTGTCCCCCACCTGCCCAGGGATGGAAGAGCCCAGGAATAAGGCCTCACCTGAGTGGTGGAAATAGAAGCAGAGGACGAGGGGAGGGTGCTGGTGAATGGGGAGCGGCTGAGGCGGGGCAAGGCTGAGGTCCCTGGGGGCCCCAGCAGGCTGGAGGAGAGGGGGGTGCTGCAGACAGCCCGCAGCATTCCGCCACCATGGGAGATGGGGTCCTTATTACTGGTGTAGATGCCTACAGGCACAAGGACACAGAGGGAAACGTATTGTCACCAGTCTCCCAGATCCCTCCTCAGTCAGGTGGCTGGGACAGCCCCTCCCTAAGGAGAATACTCCCCTGAATCTGGCCACATACACACCAGTCTAACCCTCTTGCTGCAGAGATGTCACTTCTTGCCTGGGTAACATCTGCTTGACATGACTGCTTATTAGACTGCCCTGCCCAGGCCTAGGGAATTCCCAGCTTTTCTAATACACCAACCAAAACTTTCTAAGTCTTACTGACAATCTAACCCACTCTCTCCCACAACTATGCAGAAGACAGGTACAGGGAGTCTTCGAGGTAACTGTCACCTCCATCCTTAACTGTCCTTTGGAACAGTTTCTATCACATTTCCTTCTAACTGCATGTTAATGCTTCTGTCCTATCACTAAACTGGCTGGGTCCTGAGATGCCCTCCATCCCCAAGGGACACTAACCTGCCCCGAGCAGGGGAGACTCCAGGCTCAGGCTGGGCAGATTCCCCGAAGGCCCAAAGGTGCGGGAGGCCAGACCACCCAGGCCAGAGCTGACCAGGGAACCTCCGGAAAAGGGTGAGGCAGCAGTGGCAGTAAAGCCAGCCAGCTGGGCACCAGGCAGTGAGGGAACAGCTGGGACCCCAGTGCCCTCTTTGTTCCGGCTGCCCTTGGGACGGCCTGGCCCATGTCGACTCCTCTTGCTGGCTTTGTGCTTCTTCTCCTTCAGGCCTGTCTCAAGGGTCTCCTCAGCAGGCGCAGGGGCAGCGCTCAGTGTGGGCATCCGCTTGTGGGTGCCTGCTGAGGCCCCAGACCCCGAGGCGTGGGGAGACTTATAGTCCCCAGGGGATGGGGCCCGGGCCCGGCCTGAGCTGGAGGTGGTGGTGGAGAAGCGCATGATGGGCCCAAAACCAGAGAAGACCACCTTCTGCTCAAAGAGGTCAGCCTTGGGAGGCTCAGGGGCTGAGGGAGAGGGGGGTGCTGAAGGGGTGGGGGCCGCGGGCTTGGAGTACTTGTCCTCCTCTGGCTGCTCCAACTTGGGGAAGGCAGAGAAGTCAGGGGAGCTCTGCAGGGACGAAACTGCACAGAGGGAAAATGGAATTACAGCTGGACCCCAAATCCTTTACTCCCTCCCATTCCCAAGGTGCAACAGCGGGAAAGAGCTCTGGTCAGGGGATGGGGAACCTGGTTTCCTGTCTCAGCTGTGCCACTGTTTCCGTGTCCTGGGATGAGTGACCCCTACGACCCCCCAACTTCCCTACCTATGATAAAGTGGGAGGAGAGGAGAGAGTTCCGGCTCAAGAGGGAAGGGTTGTGGGGCAAGTTTGGAGAAGTGTAACTTGGTAGGGTTTCCCCATCTTTACCCTGAACCAATTTAAGAAGCAAATGAGATGCAAACCAATATGCAATGGCCCTTGCTAGAAAAGTGCAGGGCCAAAGGCTGTCCCATTCCCAGCCTCCTCCAGGAGGCTCACCTGCTCACACTCACCTGCAGGCTGGAAGGGCCCCCCAGAGGAGGAGGAAGAGGAGGAAGAGGAGGAGGAGGCGGAGGTGAAACTGCTCACACCTTTCCCACTGCTCAGCTTCTTCCCTTTGTGACTCAGGCTATGGCTGGAAGACTTTTTCCCCTTCGAGTCCCTGCTGCTCTCAGAGGTCTCTTGAGTGCTGGCCTCATGGTGAGAGGAGGAAGAAGCTGAGGAGACCTGAGGGAGGGAGGGGAGGGGAAGGTTGAGGCCAGCTGCCTGGGCCTAGGCTCAACTGGACTTGGGAGTGGAGCAGGAGCACATGGGACTTGAGGCTCTACTGGGAAAGCCCAGAATTAGCTTCAGGAAGGACTTCCAGGCAGGGAGATGGTGGTGGGTAGTGAGAGCCCACAGACCAGGGAGATGGGTAGGCAGCTGTGCAACTTCTGGGTGTGAGGAGAGGGGAGCGCTCTGAATGCAAGCAGCTGTCTATCCTTCACCTCAGGCAGGGGAAGAGATGAAAATGGTCCCTGAGTCTGTATGGATGTACTCATCTGTTCCTTTATTCAAGAAATACTTAGGGGGGGCCGGCCGAGTGGCGCGTTGGTTAAGAGCTGGCTTGGGACACCAGCTCTGAGCAGCAGCGCCCGGTTCGGATCCCACATGAGGGCCAGTGACACTGCCCTCTACAGCTAAGATGGTGAACAACAGCTCAACCTGGAGCTGGGCTGCCGTGAGTCGCCGGCGATGGCGTGGGCTGCAGCCCCTGCTGCAGTGGGATGCCATAAGCTACCGTGTGTGGCCGGCAGCCAGCGTGAGTGGCCGGCAGCCAGTGTGAGCTGCCGAGAGCCACGTGAGCGGCCGTCCAGAGGCCTCATCCAGGAAGAGCGCAATGATAATACCAACATGGGCCAGTGAAGCGACGTCCTCCACAACTAGACTGAAGAACAAAAGGACAGCAACTTGTCTGTTCCCCTTTCCCTGATTCCCCAGTGCTGTTCCCCTCCCCCAATTCCCCAATAAAATCTTAAAAAAAAAAAGAAAAAAGAAAAATAGTTAGGGTGACACCAGAGCAATGGACTTGTGCTGGGAAGTGGTGTGGGCAAGAAAGAGGACTGCCCTGACCCCATCCTTGGGCCCTCCAGTCATCACTCCCTCTCTGCTCACTCTAAGTTGCAGCCACCTGGCTGACACCCCATGCACTGGGCACTCCATGCCCTTCTAGACAACGTTGAGCTTGCACTGCCAAGCCCTCTGCCAGGAAAGCCTATCCTTCCTCTTCCTGGAAAACTTCTCATCCTTCAAAATCCAGCTCAGAAGTCCCCTCTTCATGAAGCCACCCTGGTACAAGTCACTGTCCACTTATTTCCAGGGCACCATGTACCCACATCAGCCATGTCAATAGCTGCCACACTGTACTGAAAAGTACTGTCCCCATGTCTGAGGCCTCCAGTAACCTCTCTGAGGGCGGCAGGGCAGGGGCTGAAGCATGGGCTCCGAGGTCGGGAGGAACAGGCTGTGAGCCTGGCGGGCTCTGCCGCTCGCCACCGTGTCATAGTGCACGGTCTCTCACCCTCACTGAGCTTCAGTGTCCTTCCAGGGCTAATTATGCCTAGTTAGAGAGTTCCGAGGCGCATGATGCCAGAAACATAGTGTGGGGTCAATAATGATGATTCTGCTGGCCGTGGCTGCTATTAATACACTGCAGAGACAGTGTCTGTGGTGGTCAAGCCAGACCGCCTGGGTTCAAATCTTGACTCCACCATTTATGAACGGTGTACTTTTAGGCAAATAACTTCTCTGTGCCTCAGTTTCTTCATTTACTAAGTGGGGTTCAGGAAATACCTACTTCATTGGACTATTTGGGGGATTAAATGAGCTAATCCCTACGCTCCCCTCCCATCCCCATGTTCTAGAAGAAAGGGTGGCATATGGTGGGTGAGTTAGGGCTTCATACTACCGCCAGGGACAGCGCGTTTCCTTCTGGTGGAGACCAGGTATTCAGGACACGTTTGCTAAACCAACAAATGCCAGAGGGAGGATGGATGGGGGAACAGCGCCACCCTGCACTGCCCTCCCTGGGCGGAGCCCTTGTCTCCTCTTCTTTTTTGTTCTTTTCAACAGCTGGAGTTCTGAAGGGAGCCAGATGTGGTTCTGAGAGCAAGGGAGGAGAGCGACTAGGGGGAGGGGTAGCTGAAACGCTGGGGTGGGTGGAGGGGCAAGGGCAGAATGCACCAACATATCCAAGGGGACACCCAGCCACTGGGGGAACTCCCAGATCTCGGGTTCTCTCTTTCCACCTGCCTGCAGGTCCCTGGGAAAGGTCAGAGGGCAGAGATGACAAGCTTTTCCAGGTGAGTTCTGGGAAGCAGGGAGGGGAGGGTTACAGGGACAGTTGCCACAGCAACATCACCCTGGAAACCTGAGCCTCCTGCTAAGATGCCCAGAGCTCTGCCAACCTCCTGAGGCAGTGGAAATGAATGGGGCAATAATGGTGACAGGAAGAAGCAGTTTCTCCAGGCCCTTGTTCTCTCCTTCCCTGGGGAGGGCTGGCTGGAAGGAGGGGCAGAGAGGGCTGCTCTGGCTTGGGTTAGTGACTCCCTGGCCTCAGGTAGGGCACGCCAGTTGCTTGTCCAGTTGTTGCCCATTTCTGGAGACAGGCCTAACATACACACCTTGCCCCTACTGGGAAGCTGGGATGAGCGGGGAGTTCGGTGTTGTCAGGGACCTGCTCCCCATGCTACCATGCGCTACCCTTTCAACCCCTCCAACCTGCGTGGAATGGGATTTGTAAGGCGACAGACTCTAGGTGTCTTTCTGATGTTGAGGCGGGGTGAGAGGGTAGGGTGCTCTCTACCTAACTCTGGGAAACAGGGTCCTAAAAGCTTGGAGAATTGGCCCGAGTACTGTACCCACAGACAAGAGCCCAGTGTTGAGGCCCTGTGCCTGGACAGAAGCAGATGTGAACATCTGGCAGCCAGCGGACAGGGCGGTACCCTACCCCACCCCCGCCCTCCTGGTTGGTCAGTGATCCGTGGGGCTGAAGAACACAGGCCCCTCCTAGGCTAGAACGGGAGTTGAGGGGGTTGAGGTGCGGCACAGAGGCACATTAACCTGAAGCTCTGAGGGGTGCCCAGGGCCCTGGCTCCCCCTGTCCTCTCACACTTTGCCCCCTCCCAATACCATGGCCATCCCTCCTGGGTGTGGGCAGCAGTACCTTGTCAGCAGTGGGGACCATGGGAGGGGTGAGGATGCTGGGGGGTGACTCAGGCCGCTTCTTGTGCTTCTGTTTAAGGCGTTCCTTGTCCTTTCGACTCTGGGGAAGAAGAGGTGACCAGATATTGGTGTTGGGGGCGCTTTGGGTGAAGATAAACATGACATGTTCATGTGGGGAGTGAACTCCTCTGAGAGATGGGTTTTGTGGCCATCATCTCTCCCTATGGAGAGACTGGGGGACTTTGGCTGGACAGAAGTGGCTCAGGCAGGTTCCTCTGAGAGCCGGCAGCCCCTCCCCCTCCTCCTCCCTGCCTGCTAAAAATAGCCTGTCCCATTATCACGCCAGTGACACAGAGCACCACACACGTGAGCACGCACCTGCAAGGGTGTCCACTCAGGACACGGAGCTGTGCAGAGTGACGGGAGCTGGGCACCCTGTGACGCGTGGCATGAGGGGAAGCAGGCATGTACATTTACAAACCAGGCTGACGCAAGGCTAGACTGTGGAGATGTGTGCAAACGCGCAGGCCATGTGTTAGGAGCTTTGGGGACACTGTCACGTTATGCGGAGGACACTGGAGGAACCACACAAACACAAAGAGCCCCAGGGAAGCCAGACCCTCACCTCACTGTATGACCCTCACATATTCTTCCTCAGTCCCCTCCCAGTTCTCAGTGGCCTCAGTGGAAGGGGCAGGCCCCAAGACCCTGCGGGTACCTTGTGGTGGCTTCTTAGCAGAGGTGTGTGTTTGTGAGTAAGGACAGGACCAGCAGAGACAGAAGACATTTACCTTCTTCTGGCCCCTCTCGTGGTGGGAAGGGTGCTTCTCCTGCTGGGTGGGTGGTGAGGAGGACCGGCTTCTCCTGCCAGTGATGAAGCCACTGCTACCTCCCCCGGTGCTGCTGCCTCCTCCTCCTCCTCCTGCTCCCCCACCTGCCCCGCTGGTGTGCCGGGAAGTCTTCTGGGGAGAGAATTGAGAGGAGTTGCCAACCTCTCCTCTCTTTAGTTTAGGGAAAGGTTCCTGAAGGTCAAGTGATCCTGGGGGCCAGTCCCCTGCCCTTCCTGTCACTAAGAAGACCTTGTGTCCTCAACGACGCTCTGCTCAACAGAAAAGAATTCTCTCGAGCTTCCCCAGCCTGTCCAGTGCACAGTTTTGGCAACTGAGGCCCAGAAGAGCCAGGGGTTTTGGCTGCAGCAAGGCACGCTGGACTCCAGCAGGACTGGGGCCCCTCCTTCTCTCACCCACCTCTTTCCATGGTGCCCTCTTGGCCTGTCTCAGGCAGCCTAAGCCATGGCCCACCTCCACCTCCTTCCCTGGGATAGAAGATGTGCGAGGGACCCTGGTGGGAGCCCCTGCTCCCCTGCACTCCACACCCCATCCTCCCCTTCAGACACTTTGCTCCAGCTATCAGCCCTTCTCCCTTGTTCCTGGCCCTCTGACTCCACCACACACAGTTCCTTCTGTCCCAAAGGGCCTGCTGCCCTTAAGAAGGGGGAAGTAAACATCCACAATAAAACCCCTAATGACCTCTGTGCTGCCTGTCCTCCCAGCCAGGGCCTGCCCCCTCCTTCCCTTCACTACTAATAGACTCCCCACTGCCCAGTCTGATGGCTTCACCTGTCTCAGACTTGCAGCTGCTCCCTCTAAGGTCACCCACTACCTCCCAATTGCCAAACCCAGGGACTAATTTCAGACCTCATCTGACCCAATCACCCCCCAAGCGATGGGCACCGCTCCTATCCTGCCAAGCTCTTAAAACTCTCTTCACACCTTGACCCACCCTACTCTGGTGGGCACCTGGGGATTCCAGCCCCAGCCTTATACACCTTGGGCTGGCACTACCACCCTGTGTGGAGATCTGACATCCACCAAACCTAAACATTCCCATTTGGCATGTCTTTTAAACCACACCGAGCTCCCTACCTTGTCCTAAGTCATCAACAAACCTTGAAGCCAAGGTGACCATATGGCTTATGATCCAAACCAGGATACAATTGAAAATGAAAGGGGTAACTATCAATAATTACACCAGAACAAGAGGTGCAAACTAGGACTGTCTGGGATTGACCAGGTCAGATGCTAAGCCTACAGAAGCCTGCTGCACCCCTGTTCACAGCATCCCCAGGTACTCAAGCCCTATCCACCCAGCATCGAGAGCCTGGGTCCTACATGCCACCCTCAGCTCCTCCTCAGCCATCCCCACACGTAGGCACGTCTACCTAGAAGTGGTTCTAGAGTCCAGCCTCATCCCTCCATTCCCCCCCTTCTCGCAGCTGTCTCCCAGCCGCCAGCCTCAGCCCTTTGGATCGAGCTTCACAGCGCCTGCCAGGGTAATCTTCCTAAAAAACAAATCTGATCATGTTACCCTCCCACTTACAAGCAGCCTTACAAGCCTGTGGCCTGGGGGTGAGGTCCAAGCTGAGTTCCCCATCAGGACACAGCCTACCTCTCCAGGACACCCCACAGCTTCTGGAACACGTAGGTCTTTTCACAAATATGAGACAGTACCCCTTCTCAAGCCTCTCCTTGGGTCCCTGAGGCCTGGCACCGAGGTAAGCCCAGCTGTGGCCCTGCCTGAGCTTTCTTACCTCATCTCCTCCCTTGTCCCCACCAAACACCCTGTTCTGCTGCTCAAGAAATTCTCCTCTTTTCAGGACTAGGCCCATGTCAGTCCCTTTGCCTGGGATTCCCCCCTTTGCTTGGCAAGCTCCTGAGGCGCTTTCAAATCAGACTGCCTGTTCTAAATCCCATACACACTGTGAGATAAGTTACATAACCTTGTTGGGTCTTAGTTTACTCATCTGTAAGATGGGAAAATATAGTATGCCTAGTTCTTAGGGTTGTAGGGAGGATCACGCAAAATAACACACATAAAGAGCTTAGTACAGAGGCCAGGGCACAGTACTCCCCCACCACCACCCACATTTTGGCTCTTATTGTTCCCACCTCCGCCAGCTTTTCTGCTAACTCTTCTTTGAAGCCTCCCAGGCTCTGACAGGCAGGGTCTGAGCTCTGTCTTCTAGGATGGACTGTTTGGTTCAGCTCTGATTCACACCCCTCAGCCTGTGCTTCAATTTACTCTTCATCCAAAGAAGAGATCCTCAAGGGCAGGGACTAGGTTTCTTTCATCTCTGTCCTCCCAGCATCAGGCACCAGCCTGGCCCAGAGCCCATGCCCTCTAAACCATGGCTGACTGACCCACTCCCGCCTGGCAGATGAAACTCACCATCTTGCTGAAATGGTATTTGCAGTAGCCGCAGTACTTGACATTGTCGACCTCCAGCACTTCTTCCTCACATAGCAGGCCTGCCATTTGGGCACTAACCAAAGAGGTCAGATTGAGAAGGGTGTGGCCACAAACCAGACCAGCCTCCTCCCTTGTATTCTCTTGGACCCCAGCTGGGACAAAGCCAAGATCATCCAAGGAAAGCACTGCCACGATCACCAGAGACAGCAGCTGGGACGAGCCCATCTGGCGGCAATCCATGGCAAACATCCGAAGGGGTGGGTACAGCTGGCCTGGGATCCCAGAGAACCCTGGAAGGGGAGGACTGAAGGCAGGCAGGGGTCTCACCAGGTGACATGGAAAGCTTGTCGACATCCATGACGGTTACAGGTCATACAGGCTCCCGAGGCTGCCTTGCTCTCCCGGCCCTGCTCCTCGCAGATGTAACATGTCTGCAGGACACAGAGTAATTGTCCGCTCTTCCCTTCCACCTAAGGGACCCCTCAATTCCATCCTCTCCCCATGATCCTAAGTCAGGGCTACCCAACAGAACCTTCTGTGATGATGGAAATGTTCTATGCTGCACCGTCCAATACAGTAACCGTGAACCACATGAGCTATTGAACACTTTAAATGTAGCTTAGGAACTGAATTTTAAATAGTATTTAATTTTAATTAATTTACATAGCCACATGTGACTGGTGGCTACCATAATGGATAGAGCAGTCCTTGGATGGTGAGCCCTATAAGGCCAGGACTGTGTCTGCCTTGCTCACTGATGAGCTTATTCCTACCTCTCAGCCTTTATATATGTTGGTTCCTTCTGCCTGGAACCTGGAACCCCATCCTCCTTAAGGCTGGCTCCTTCTCATCTCCCAGCTCCCAGCTTAAACATGTCTTTCCTTGACCACTTTATTTAAAGGGAGCCCCCCGAGGTATTATTTCAGTACCTTGTTTACTTCACAGCACTTACTACAAACATTTACTTTATTCGCTTGTTTACTAACATTTACAGTCTTCCCACATAAGAGTGTGAGTTCCACAGGGCAGGGAGCATATCTCTCTTGAACAATACTGCACACTGAACCTAGTGGTACCTTGCCCCAGGTTTGGCATATAATAGTCACTCAGTAAATGTGTTCAGTGCATGAACGAATGAAGTGCTTGCTAAGGTCTACCCTGTGGCAGCACTTGAATTCCAGAGCCTGAGCATGTGTCTGTCAGTGGAAGGTGCCTACCCACCTCCTGAGTTCCCTGAAAATATGGACTGGAGAGAATCAAATTACACTGGATGAAGAGCAAGGTGGAGGGACCCGGCTGGGAGGGGGACTGGTACCAGCATGGTAGGGGCTGCTGACCTTGTTGAAGCGATCATGAGGCACATACTGCAGCACGATGGGCTCCATGGTGAGCACGTTGGCAAACTGCACCTCAGGGATGTAGAGGGCACACACCACATGGGCCCAACCTGGGGCAATGTGGGGCTGGCTTCAGCTGCGATGGCAAGCCCGAGACCCTGACCACTCACAGCCCCACATTGCAGACAGTCCCTTCCTCCATGGCCTTCCCATCAGAGTCCAATGCCAGCCGGGAAACTGAGCCCCCAACCCCACTCCTGCCTTCCCAGACCCTGCTCAGGGGGCCTTGCTGACCTCAACAGATGAGCCCTGGAACTCAGGTTCCCCCTCACCTCCATTGTCAGTCCTCTTCAATGCCCCATCTTTGTGTGGGCACAGCTCACACCTCTGCCAATGCAAAGGGGCACAAGAATTGAGGGGAGCCTTTTCAAAAGGGGGTGGGGGATCTGCTGAGCTGGGACCCCCTGAACACATTCAAAGGGCCCCAGGAGAAAATGATAAGCTGTCTATGGGGGGATGGGTAGGGGTATAGAGGAAACAGGGTTGGCCACGAGTTGGTAATTGTTGAAGATAGATGACGGGGCCATGAAATCAGTTATAGTATTCCCTCTACTTTTGTACACGTTGGAAACTTTCCAGAATAAAAAGTGCAAACAAACAAGCAAGCAAAAATAAAAGGTCCTGTGCCAGAGGTGGGGCAGAATGAGGGATGAGCTGAGGGAGAGATGGGGCTGGTGATAGGTGTGCAGGAAACAGGAAGTCTTGTGTGACAGTCCCACCCTAGCCTCAGCCTCAGCCTCAGCGTACCCTAGCTTAACCAGGGGAGATGCTCAGGTATATGGGTTGAAGGGGGAAGGGCAGTCTCAAACTTACCACCCTGGCTGCTCGCTCCTGAGATTCACATTTCCGGCAGAACCAGGGTCCTGTTGGCACCTGGACGATGCCATAGCAAGCTGGGGGTGGGGAAGGAGAGTCATGGAGTAAATCGGTCAGCAGTGGCCTTTCCCAGAGTAACCTGGGGGGAAGGGGTTACTCTAAAGGACTAACTAGAGCCAGTTCCAGCGTATGGGTAGGGTGCTGTTCCTACTAGCTAGCCAGCAGGACCACAAAGAATGGCCAACAGCACAAGGCCAGCCTTCAGCCATACAACCAAGCACTCCAGCAGGGGCAGGAAGCCTGAGACCTTGACCTTAAAGTCTAGAAGATCCTCCCCCTGTGCCCTTTCTAGACCTAGCCTCTGACCGAACAGAAAAAACCAGAGGGGCAACATTTACAATACTCAAACACGTTTTTTGTTGTTATGGGGGGGGGGGAGCATTTCTTAAAGGGCCAGTAAGGTAAGAGGCGGTGAAGTTGGGGGTCCAAGAACCTCTTCTTCTGCCTCTAACTATAATAGGTACAGGTCAAAAGTCAAGGCTGAGGGCAGGTGCAGTGCAGGTAACCTATACCAGAGTGGCAGGAAGAGCCTACAGCGACAACATTTAGGGCTGTCCCAGGAAGGGGGAGCAGCTGGCTGTGCCAGACAGGCGGGAGATACCAGCCTGCGCCCTCGGCAAGATTCCTCAAGGAGTTAACTCCCGAACCATGTGCTGCTGGGGGAAACTCCAAACCTCCCTCTTCTCGATTCCGGCCCCCGGCACAACCTCGCTCCTATCCACAGCTCCTCCCCGGAGGATTTTAGGAGTCCCCTCTCCCCTAGGACCCTTCTCCTCCCTTCCCAATTCCGCTCCTCCCAGTATCCGGAAGCGGGAGGAGGGATGACTCCCCCTTGACCTCTCCCTCTGGGAGCCTGGACCAAAATAACCGGGCAGGAGGGGACATCTCGAAGGTAAACATTCCGCCAGCAGCCCCGACATTAGCGGTGTGGGACGCGGAGAGTGCACTCATTGCCCCCTAGACTGTCCCCAAACTCCCTCAACTTGGGGTGGGGGGCGCGGGACTGGAACAATAGACAAGAAAACAATGCCTGACCCGGTCCTCCAGGACCGGGCGGGGGGAGCCCCCCCGACGCCTCCCTTTCCTTCAGGTGGGGGTGGGGGAGGGGCGCCCGAGCCCCGGGAGGTCTCCGGAGGGCGCGGCCCGGGGCGCCCTGCGCACACCGCCCCCGCAGTCCCGCCGCCCCCCGCGGGCCACCCCCGTACCTTGGTGGACAGCCACGCTGCACGCGTGCCCATCACAGTAGACCAGCGGGTTTTCGGCCCAGCCCCTCTCGTCCGAACATACGCAGCAGCCTCCTACCATCTCCTTCATACTCCCATGAGCTCCCTCCGGGGCTGG